TCCTGAAAAGTTCTAAAAATGCTACCTACCCACCTACTTTTTGCACTAAGGTCCTCACTTACAACTTAAAATTAATTTCTAGTTCTAGTCACAGCACCGAAAGGAACTAAAATGCTTGCACCAGCTTAGCTTAAGCAGCTCAAAAATAAATAAATAATAATTCTGAAAACAAGGTTAAAGCATTGATTAATGTGAAACGTGGTAAACTACTTTTCGATTTACGACTAAAGTATTTTATCAAAATCAATTAAATTTGGTGGGATGGTAGATTATGAATTATAGAATTGTGGAAACTAATTTTTACTTTAATAGAATAATCCACAAAATTATGACACTTCTAAAAAATACTAATATTGGAATATAAAATACTTTGCACAATTCTATAATTCATCCTCTACCATCCCACCAAATTTCATTGATTTTGATAAAATTCTTTAGTCGTAAATCGAAAAGTTGTTTAACGTGTTTCACACAGGTATCCAGGCCTCTTAAACAAAATACAATCACCTACTTAGGTGAAACACTTTTTCCAACAGAAAACTCACTATCACAGAGTACAGACTTTGCTCTCACTCTAGCACCATTCACCGTACGAGAATTTTCCATAAAAAATTTAACAGGCAGCCACGCCAACGGCGATCATTACCTATAACTACCCGCAGCGCAGACAACAGACGACTGATGGCACCAACTGATGCTAAGAGAGGGATGTTAATTCAGAATGAAACTAGTACGAATTAATAGAGTCAAAACGACCATATGCATCTCATGTTAAATCATATCAATACTTTTTCTGTGCTTAATTTGACTATAATCTAGGATCGTACATACAGAATATATTGGTTTGTTCTGAAACGACTTTGATGTTATATTGAGTTTGCAGTAGAAATATACAGAACAATAACATATTTTCAACCTAAGGCGAAGCTGATATTTTAGATTAGTGTTAATTAGGTGCCAGAGTGTAGTTTAATCGAGTATAATTATTTTTGTTATGAAATTAGAAATTGAAATTAAAGTAATATTTGGATTAACTAAATATTAATGTCAAAGACTTTTCTAAGTAGATTTGTTTTAATATTAATATCCCGATTCTAATAGTATAGTCAGATTTGATCCTAGATTTTTTTGTGTGTGCCTTTTTCAGTTAAAAACGCATGAGTGCAAATTTGTCGAAAATTATAAATATATTTCCATTGCACGAGTTGTATTTGATGAGAGAATTTCATAAATCAAAAATTTAAATTTTTTGTCAAAAAACGTCAAAACACCAGTTTTCGCACCAGTTAGTATGCAATTATCTGATAATTTGCACTAGTGCAAATTATCGCGTAATTACAATCTGATTGGTTCAAATCAACATTCAAAACATGTAAATTTATTGTTGGAATACCAGTTTTGACAGATGTATGAAATTCTCAATAGTAATATAACTAGTGCAATGGAAATTATTGATAATTTTTGGGAAATTTGCCCGAATGCATTTTTAGTTGAAAAAGAGCACGAGTGCACGTAGTGCACGAGTGCCTTTTTCAGTTAAAAACGCATGAATGCAAATTTGTCGAAAATTATAAATATATTTCCATTGCACGAGTTGTATTTAATGAGAGAATTTCATAAATCAAAAATTTAAATTCTTTGTCAAAAAATGTCAAAACACCAGTTTTCGCACCATTTAGTATGCAATTGTGCAAATTATCGCGTAATTACAATCTGATTGGTTCAAATCAACAATCAAAACATGTCAATTTATTGTTGGAATACCAGTTTTGACAGATGTATGAAATTCTCCAAGTAATTTACTTGAAGTACTGACAGCTCTGTAGGTACTGTATATTGGTCTTGTATTAATAAAGAAAACGAAGTGAAATTTGGGTTATTGCATTATAAACGTTGACATCTCGTAGTTGGCAGGCCGTGTATCAGGTTGACATTATACAGGGGACCAGCCGATTAGTGGCGTGAGGATTAGGGAATTTTGTTACAAAATTCAATATATTTTTACCAAAATCACATAGAAAGGACATTTTCAATTTTACCCAGCTTGCTTGAACAAACTTCAAAATTAAGCTGGGTTCGATATTACATATTTTTTATAAAATTGCTACTTATATAAAATCCAGAGAAAATTAAAGGACCGAGATTAATTATTTTTTCCCCTCGGGAAAACAATTTCAAATAAATTTTTATTAAGCAAATTGAAATTTTTTCCCAATCCATGTCTAATGGAAATTCTCAACAGAAATGTTTGGAATATTTTTCATCAAAAACTTCGAAGTAGGAATTAAACAATTCCTCATTATCATATTCAATTTATTTTAGCCTCTGTTCAAAGTATATAAAACCTTCGCTGATGTTTTTGTAAAATTAGCACCCCAAAGATTCCTAAAAGCTAATTGAAGTAATCAGCATAAATTCCGGTTAAACTTTATAATTATTTCCTTGGAGGAAATTCCCCTTTTAGTATACAAAGTACAGTGCCAATAATGTTGCTGTGTGGTGAAATTACTCGAATTAATCGGAATAAAGTTTTTCGGTGGCTTCTTTCATCATGTCAGATGAAACCTTATAATAAAGTGAATCAATATTGATAAAATTGTTATACTGAAACTGGTAAATGTTGTAAAATCTAATTTACATTATCCAGGATAACTTAATTATGTTTTACTGGATAAAGTCTGGAAAAGTTTATTAACTTTTAACCGAAGTCCTTTCTTTGTACAAAACTTTTCGTCCAATTTGGAAAATTAAGCTCATTAATCATCAGGGATTTTTAATCATCTCTATTTTCAAAAAAGTGATTATTTGAAATGGTTTCTTCTTAGTTTGACTTCGTCCTAGAATCTCTATAGATTTTGTTAGCTTCCATTGTGTTATGTGGAAGCAAAAGATAAGTGAACAATTTGAATTTATAATACAAAGCAAGTAGATTTGTTTTTCAGAAAAAATCTCCATTTATCGACTTACGCATGATTGTGACCCGGTTTCTATGATTTCATAATAAATTTACATCATCCCATATATGGATTTTTTCCAATGGATTATATTTACAAACAATGAATTGAGCACAATTTTGATAAATAAGAATGCCAAGGATTTTGTAGGTGTTCGAAATAATATCGTTCCTTAATAAACAACAAAATTCCTTAAATATCTGTCTCAGACAATTTGGTTGTAGATTGTTTTGAAATAGTAACACGTGCCATTACAATGTCGAATGCTCATTAATATACTAATTAATGAGTCTTTTAATCAAAATTTTACTGATTTTCTAGCGTCTTTATAATATAGAGAAAACTAGACAGATTATAAATATTTCATCGATTTATTTAGGATTTTAAACTATGATTATCAAAAAATGCTGCTGACAAAACAAAGTTTCACTAATAAAAAGTCAATTTCCATCAGACAAAATCAAATCCAATATAATTAATCATACAGTAATAATTGTTTTCAAAATATCACAAAATATGCAAATATTTTAAGTAATTTTAATTACATATATAGGTACCTACTACCAACCAGTTAATCACCCAAAGTTATTTACTAGCAGCAAACAAGATTTTTACTATTTTTTTAAGTATCCCCGATAAGAAAACACTACTTAAAGTTAAACCACGTTTAAACACCTCTAGTCAGTGTGCAACATTACACCCAAAATGCCTGTAAGTACCTAAATTTTACACCTAATTTTAGGGCCGATTTATTCACCTTCTAGTAAACTGCAAACTGGCAAATATAAAAACGCAATCTGGATTTATCTTGTAGACAGTTACTATTAAGTTTATATGATGAATAATAGAAATGTTATGATTTAATAATAATTAGTCGCAAGCACAGTGGGATTATTGCAAGAGTTGTGTACTGTAAGTGAAAGAAAACCTCTGGAATACAGGCTTTATTAAACTCAGTATCTTTACTATACAGACCTAAACCATGTAACTCAAGGTTGAAAAATCATTAAGGTAGGTGACAAAGGTATAAATTACAGGACATTCTGAAAGTTTCTATATAGATTTGTAGATTGTAGATAACAAAAGCAAAAGAATAAAAGAAAAATTAAAAAATAAAACTTCAAAGAAAACAGAAATTCCTACAAAAGTTGAGGGATACTGAAAAAAAAAAGGAAAAATAAAGAAAAGGGTGGAAACTTAAAACAATTCAACTTTGCAATAATACAAAACATTATAGCATTGTAACAGGAAATTTTTCGATTTTCCAAACGACAATTATTATCATTATTTGAACCGGTACGTGACATTTGAATTAGATCCTCCTCGTGTACGTAATTAACTACAATTAATTCAATGATAAAAGAGTTTTTAGGATTTCCATGTGCTCCTTGAACTATACGTAACGATAAGGCAATTTTCTAATGATCGAAGAACCCAATTTTATCTTCTAATTATAGGAAATATTAGACAGAGAATCCTAATTAGTGAAGTTGGGCAAAGAATGATTCAATCAAATCAAAGTTTTCATTGGAAAATCTCTGCAAAGTGGCAGGAACATTCTTTTTGCCTCTTTATTTTAATCTTTTGGTCATATGAAATCGTCTTAAATATTGCACTTTTATGGATGAAATTATTGAGTTTTTGAGAAAAATTGAAGAAAACCATCGACCAACATTTTCTGAGGCTTAAAACAACAATTTCATCAAAAGACTTCAGAATATCATCATCAATATATCTGAGATAACTGACTGAAGTAATCTACCATTTCATCATGACATATACAAAAGTGCTATCAGGAAGTAAAACGAATTTATCATTAAAGACACGTGAAAGCTTTAATAAACACACACACATACAGACAAGATAAAAAAATAAATAGTGTCAATTACTCGTTTAAACGAAATGCTTTTGCTTGGTAGCATTATTTTGTACATCAGCATGCAGACGCTGAATGATTTTTCCTTGACTTTGTGCCAGGATTTATCTCTAGACGAGGGGGCTTTTTAAAATAAAAAGCACTAAAATGGTGTTAGTTGTGTATAAAACTGGCGCGATCCTATATTCTGTCGTTTCGTAGTTAAAATCTTCGAGTCAGTGTGGGTGTTAATTACTTACTAATCGTTATTGTTTATGTTGGATTTTGTTGGTTCGAAATAGAATGACTTATACAAAGGTAGAGAATTTTCCGTTATAACAACTAGATTTTTTTTTACTATTTTCATTGGTTTGTTATACTGTTATTTTGACATTTTTTTCATAAACATAAACTCAAATATTTGGTAGGTATTCCTTTGAATTTCCCCAAGCAGTCATGCTTTCCTAAATGTTTGAATAAGTATTCCCTGGCACTTCCCTTGTTTTAGAATTGGAAAAATCTAATTGTACTTTCACAAATTTCTTCAATATTGACAGTTTCTCTTCAATTTCTCAATGTATTTCGCAAATTGAGTTTGAAGTTTTTGACAAAATTTGGACTAAAAGTCAACTTTGAAGCTCAATTGCTCACAAACCATTTGAGCAATCAAACTCAATTTTGCACAGATTTATAGAGAATTTAATGCTCTTTCCAATGGTATATAATTTATTTGCTCAAAATTTAATAAGGATATGGGCAATTGCTCATGACCATGTCAACATTTTGAAAATTTTTCCAGAGCCAACAAATAGGATTTTGTTTTTATTTTCGTTTCTGCTTTAAATGGCCATTTGGAATTAATATCAGGGTTGTTTTCCACTAATCTTGACCCGCTCTATCTATTAATAAAGTCAAAATTAAACAAAACTGAAAAATAAAAAAATCGAGTTTTTCATGAATTCTGATTTCTAAATATTCAAACCTCAATTGCTCGGTAACCGTTGAGCAAATTGCATTGAAATTTTCAGTATTTGTATGTTTTATTGAGCTCTACATGTCCTGTGATTTACCATATTCCCAGATTTATAGTTTTTGAGCAAATTGAGTTTGAAGTTTTTGACAAAATTTGGACTAAAAGTCAACTTTGAAGCTCAATTACTCACAAACCATTTGAGCAATCAAACTCAATTTTGCATAGATTTATAGAGAATTTAATGCTCTTTCTAATGATGTATAATTTATTTCAATTTGCTTAAAATTTAATAAAGATATGGGCAATTGCTCATGACCATGTCAACATTTTGAAAATTTTTCCAGAGCCAACAAATAAGGATTTTCTTTCTATTTTCGTTTCTGCTTAAAATGGCCATTTGGAATTAATATCAGGGTTGTTTTCCACTAATCTTGACCCGCTCTATCTATTAATAAAGTCAAAATTAAACAAAACTGAAAAATAAAAAAATCGAGTTTTTCATGAATTCTGATTTCTAAATATTCAAACCTCAATTGCTCGGTAACCGTTGAGAAAATTGCATTGAAATTTTCAGTATTTGTAGCTTTTATTAAGCTCTACATGTCCTGTGATTTACAATATTCCTAGATTTATAGTTTTTGAGCAAATTGAGTTTGAAGTTTTTGACAAAATTTGGACTAAAAGTCAACTTTGAAGGTCAATTGCTCACAAACCATTTGAGCAATCAAACTTAATTTTGCACAGATTTATAGAGAATTTAATGCTCTTTCCAATGGTATATAATTTATTTCAATTTGCTCAAAATCTATTGAGAATATGGGCAATTGCTCATGACCATGTCAACATTTTGAAAATTTTCCTGAGCCAAAAATAAAATTTTCTTTTTATTTTTGTTTCTACTTAAAATGGCCATTTGGAATTGAGGTCAGGGTTGTTTTCCACTAATCTTGGCCCGCTCTATCTGTTAATGAAGTCAAAATTGAATAAAACTGAAAAATAAAAAAATCGAGTTTTTCATAAGGGTAACCCCTTTGAATTCTGATTTCAAAATATTCAAACCTCAATTGCTCGGTAATCGTTGAGCAAATTGCATTAAAATTTTCAGTATTTATAGCTTCTATTAAGCTCTAAATTTCCTGTGATTTAAAATATTCCCAGATTTATAGTTTTTGAGCAAATTGAGTTTGAAGTTTTTGACAAAATTCAATAAAGATATGGTCAATTGTTCATGACCATGTCAAGAATTCGAAAATTTTCCTGAGCCAAAAATAGAATATTCTTTTTATTTTTATTTCTGCTTAAAATGGCCATTTGGGAATGATGTCAGGGTTGTTTTCCACTAATTTGGACCCGCTGTATCGATTGGTAAAGCCAAAATTGAGTAAAATAAAAAAAATTGAGTTTTCATAAGTGTAGGTACTTAGTACTGCTTCTGAAAGTTCCACAGTGTTCTAAATCGTTTTGGAAAAGTTCCATATTACTTGAAAAGTATTATGGAGCGTTCTAAAATACTTGTGATACCTACTGTTTCAACTTCAAATTTGTACTTGAATGTATCCACAAACTATTCAGATAACTCCTGAACCAAATGTTATGTGTTCTAGAAATGTTTTGCTAAGCGTTCTAAAATGTTTTTTAAATTCGATTTTAAAACGTCCAAATTGGTTCTGCGAGTGTTCTAAATTGTTAGAATTGGTTCTGATGTTCTTAATCTTATTTCGAGATTTTTGAACTAATTTTGAAGTGTGCAGAATCAGTTTAGAAACTCTGCTAATTCGAATTGTTCTAAATTGGTTGTTCGTGGTATGTCGAAATAAGTGTTCTAAAAGATTCTACAAAAATTCACAAAATCTCTAATTTATTAATAAACGTGTTCAGAAAAAAAACGCCCATCGAATCTCTGAGTGTTCTGAAATGTTCTTGCAATTCCCGAATTGATTCTGATGCGTTTTAAACCTACTGAAATGACTCATTCAATCAGTTCCGAACGATTGTGAACCGTATTTGTATATCTGAATCGGTTCTGGAGCATCCTTAGAAGGCTTACGGGAATTATCAATTATTGGTTCTTAGAGTTCAATTTTTTGTCAATTCGTCTGGAAAGGAAGTAATAACATACTTATTATGTCTACTTTGTTCACCAACTTTTTCGCAATTTTCCCTAAATTTCCTCTTTCAATTCCTGAAGTTTTCTGTCTAAGTTTTTGTCTATTCCAGGCTCTTGAATTGTCTTCTTCCAAAGGTTTTCAAATGAGAAAAATCAAGATCCTGGATTCTGGAAAAGAAATATTCAATAAGAATGTATACTCTCTCATACTTATTTCAATATTTTTTGGAGAAACTAGTGAGCGGAAAATTTTGAAACTTTTGTAGTGAAAACCATTGTAGAAAGCTCACATTTACACCAATATTAAAAACATTTTAGAACTTGCAGAAATATTTTGGAACCTTCCAGGAAACTTTAGAAAAGTTTTAAACTGTAAACCCACAAGCATTTTGGAACGCTCCAGAACAGACACTGTATATGGAAAAAGCTCAGAATTCTTCAGAACCATCGTAAAATGTTTCAAAATCAATTTAGGAATTTCAAAAATATTTTAGAATTTGTATCCAATCCGAACCGATTCATGAACATTAATAAATAATTAAAGTGTACCTTCTAAAACTAATTCGATGCATTTTAGAACAATTTAGAGCCAGTTCAATCAGTGTAGAGTGTAGATAGAGCATGGAAACAATTCGGACAATTCAGAAAACTCGGAAACTATTTTGTTTGATATTTCAAGAACAGATTAGAATACGCTCCAGAGTTCTTTACAGCGAATTCCAATGTTAAAACATACATTAGGAAGGAATTCTGAGCAATTTAGAATTACATAATTCAAACGGTTCAGAAACATGATTAGAAACACTTCAGAACCGATTTGGACATTTCTGCCACGTTAGAATTTTCGAAAACAATTTAACACATTTCAGAACACTTTCAGAAATGTCTTAAGATGCTTTGAGGAGACATGCCATCAAAGTGCAAATTCAATTTGGAACTATTACAAGCATTTTAAGAACGCTCCATAACACTTTCTAAGTAATTCTCAAAAGGGTTTTGAATACTCTAGAAGATTCAACGGCCATTTAGAATTTTCTAAGAGGAAGATTAAGAGCTCATCATATTAAAATTTCAAATTGATCCAGTGAAAAACAACCACAGAAGAAATTTTAGAAAATGAACTTCCAAAAAGTCAAATAATCAAAATGCATTGTTTCATATTTCAATATTTTTTGGAGAAACCAGTGAGAGGAAAATTTTAAAACTTCTGAAGTAAAAAGAGGAAGATTAGGAGCTCCATTATATTGAAATTTCAAACCGATCCAGTGGAAAGCAACGACAGAAGAGATTCTGGAAAATCAACTTCCAAAAAGTCAAATAAAGTTGCTGTTTCATATATCGATATTTTTTGGAGAAACCAGTTAGAGGGGAAATTTCAAAACTTTAAGGATAAAAAGAGGAAGATTTGGGAGTTCATTATATTGAAATTTCAAACCTATCCAGTGAAAAGCAAGAACAGAAGAAATTCTAGAAAATCAACCTCTAAAAGGTCACATACTGGGAATGCACTACTGTTTCATATTCCGATATTTTCTGCAGATGCCAGTGAGAGAAAAATTTTGAAACTTTTGGAGTAAAAAAAGGCAGATTAGGAGCTCATCATATTGAAATTTCAAACCGTTCAGTGAAAAACAACAGAAGGAATTTCAAGAAATTAACTTCCAAAAAGTCAATAATTAACGGGAATGAAAATGAACTCTTTTATATTATCAAATTTTATTTTACATGTTCAAGGCTTCTTAAAGACGTCGTATGTTACAAAACCCAATGCCAACGTCTTTCAAACGTCTGCCTAAAAACGTCTTTATGGTATTTTCCCAAGACATTCTAAAGACGTCTTCAACGAGATATCTTAAAGTAATCTTGGAATCTCTTTTTAATAATACATAAACCATTGTTCACTTTTAGGCTCGCCATCAAATGGTGTGGCTCAGTTTTCTTCAAGATGTGAATTTTAGACATCTTATGGAGGTTTTTCTTTGGTTTTCAGACATTCAGACGCAATGCAGACTTAAAAAAGACGTCTTTAAGACTCTGTGTGCCGTCTGGGTTCCTTTTTGAATTTTTCTATCTAAATCTTTGTCTATTCCCGGCTGTTTTCTTTTATAAACATCTCCAAATAAAGAAAATTCAAGATCCGAGTAGAAACAACATACTTATATCTTATGTCTACTTATCTACTCATTTTTTTTCCAAAATTCCTCACTTTAATTTTCAAATTCTCTACCACGTTGTCCT